GGACTTTCTTGCATATTGTCTCATGCAATCTCATTTGTAATGGAGTAGAAATGTACCACCCTCATTTACAAATGAGAAAATTCAGCCATACTATGTTGCATTTCTAATTCATTGGCTAAGGTTGTATAGATTATTACCAGAGAAACTCTGAATCCTGTTGTTGCTATTATGTGTAATCATAGCTGACTATCCAGCAGGTTTTCCGAGATAGTAAACTGCATGGAAGGAGATTGCCCATCTTTCACCAAGAAACAGCTGGTGGGTTTGAACTGCCCATCTTGGACTGGTAGAGCAACTCCTTACCCATTAGGCCACCAGAGCTTGCACGCTTACTCCCTCCCCTCATAGAAGTAGCAGTTCAAAGCACTTCCACCAGATACATCACAATATCTAGTCTATAAGAGTACCAAAGGCAAAGCTATTCCCCCAGATACATAACAGAAATTTGAATTCTGAAAGTATACTTGTTCCCAAATTCTCATCATAAGATTAGGACTGAAGTTGAGACAGATGAGTTATTATCATTCTTAGATAGTCATTTTTCAAATACTACCTGTTTGTGATATCAAGGACCATATTGTATTACATAGATACTGTCTAAAACATCCACATATCAACCACACAAACTAATATCAAAATACACAGATTATCAGGAAAATTATTCCAAATTTTAAAAACTTGTGCCTGTAGTTGTTGTTCTACATAGCATGCTCTTGAGTGTGTATTCATAGTCCATCCCGGTATCTTTTTAATAAAAATGCAAACTCATTTTCCTTACATCAGAACTGACATATAGCTGACCCTCCAGCAGGTTTTCTGAGGCTTTAAACTGCATAGGAGGAAACTGTTCATCTTTCTTGTGGAATCCTAGTGGATGTGAACTGTCAAAGACCTTTGAGTTAGCACAAGTCACTGGGGACTACATTTATGAATTGTGAAGCTACTGAGTTAGAGTAGTCTTTCTACGGAGATATTTATTTATCAGCTTTGGTGGCCTAGTGACTAAGGAGTTGCATTGCCATCTCAAGGGCAAGCTGTTTGAATCCACCAGCTGCTCTGTGGGAGAAAGATGGATAATCCTCTTCAATTATATTTATAGCCTCTGAAAATTTGCCGGAAGGTCAGCTATGAGTTGGTTCCAACAGGAATTGCAATAAGTGAGACTGGCATTTTCCACAATGCCTAGCTGGGCCCACAGTCAATGGTTTTGGGGTTTGTTTGTTTGTTTGTTTGTTGGGTTGTTTTTGGTTTGTTTTTTTTTTTTAAAAAAAGCTATTCATAACATATATGTAACAAAGCATTTCAATACTTTTTACTTGTACAAGTAAGTAACATTAATTACACTTACCATGTTGTATAGCCATTGCCATTATCTATATCCAAAGTTTCTCATGGTCCTTAACAAAAATTCCATACCCCTTATCCAATACTCTCAATTTCTCCCTTTGACTTGCCTCTGGTAACAAATAATTTACTTTGGACTATATGGTGATGAAAGAAGTAGTTCAGGCTGCTTTGAAGGACATGGCCAAAAATAATGCTCCAGGAATAGATGGTATACCAATTGACATATTTCAGTTAACAGATGCTGCCCTGGACGTGCTCACCAAGTTGTGCCAAGAAATCTGGAGAACGACCACTTGGCCAACTGACTGGAAGAGATCGATATTTGTTCCTATCCCAAAGAAAGGCGACCCAACCGAATGTGGAAACTACAGAACAATTTCACTGATTTCACATGCAAGCAAGATTTTACTGAAAATTATCCAAAAACGACTGGAACAGCACATCAACAGAGAACTACCAGAAGTCCAGGCTGGTTTCAGAAGGGGTCGTGGTACTAGAGATATTGTAGCTGATGTTAGATGGATCTTGGCTGAAAGCAGGGAATACCAGAGGAATGTCTATCTGTGCTTCATTGACTATGCAAAGGCATTTGACTGTGTAGATCATAACAAACTGTGGCTGACTCTGAGAAGAATGGGAATCCCAGAACACTTGATCGTTCTAATGCGAAACTTATACTTGGACCAGGAGGCAGTCATCAGAACAGAGCAAGGGAACACTGCATGGTTCAAAATTGGGAAGGGTGTACGCCAGGGATGCATCCTATCTCCATACCTTTTCAACCTATATGCAGAACAGATTATCCGGGAGGCTGGGCTCTATGAGGAGAAATGTGGGGTCAGGATTGGTGGACAATTTATCAACAATCTGCGTTATGCGGATGACACAACCCTGCTTGCTGAAACTGAGGAGGACCTGAAGCGCCTGCTGCAGAGTGTCAAGGACTGCAGCCTACAGTATGGATTGAGGCTCAATGTCAAGAAGAAAAAGATTCTCACCACTGGACCAATTGGCAGCATCAGGATGGATGGTGAAGAGATTGAGATTGTACACAGCTTTAGTTTGCTTGGCTCCATAGTCAACAGTCTTGGCACCAGCAGCCAGGAAATTAAAAGGCACATTGCCATGGGAAAGTCTGCTGTTAGGGACCTCTCCAAAGTGCTGAAGAGCAGTGGTGTCTCTCTGGAGACTAAGGTGCATCTGATACAGGCCATGGTCTTTGCAATCACCTGTTATGCATCAGAGAGTTGGACAATGACCAAGGAGGATAGAAGGAGAATTGATGCCTTTGAGCTGTGGTGCTGGAGAAGAGTATTGAGAATACCATGGACTGCTAGGAAAACAAACAGATTTGTCCTGGAGAGGGTTAAACCGGGTGGCTCCTTCGAGGCAAGGATTCTGGGGCTCTGTCTAACTTTGAACATGTAGTGAGGAGAGACCGGTCCTTAGAGAGGGACATCATGCTTGGGAGGGTGGAGGGATGGCGCAGGAGAGGAAGGCCCTCTATGAGGTGGATTGATTCAGTGACTGGGATAATTGGGATGGGAGTGTCAGAGACAGTGCGATTGGCACAGGACAGAGCAGAGTTTAGGGTTGTTGTACATAGGGTCGCTATGAGTCGCAGGCGACTCGACGGCACATAACAACAACAACAACATGTGTATTTACCTATTTTGTTTTTCGTTGTTTTTTGTCTTTGTTTTTGCTTTTATTTCTAGAGGTATAATCACACATTTTGCCTTTTTTTATTGCATTTAGTTTCTTCAGAGTGTTTTCAAGATTCATTTATGTTGTATCAAACACTAAGACTTCCTGTCTTTTTGAAAGAATGACATTCTACTGCATGAATGTACCACATGTTATCTATTCATTTGTTGATGGATTCTTGGGTTGCTTAACGTTGGTATCCAAGTATCTGTTTGAGCCTCTCCTTTCATTTCTTTTAGGTGCAGCAGTATAATTACTACTGGGACACAGGTAATTTTTTACCATTCATTTTCCCTAGTGGCTGCACCACTTTGCAATTCTATTAACAATGCTTTTTGTGTGTTAGTTGGATGTGGTTTTTATTTTTTCTGTGAGACAAGTCTTGGGACATATTATTAAATTTCTTGCCACTAATCTGGCCCATGCCAAGACACAGATAATTTAATATATAAGTGATAAAATGCTTTATTACAAGAAAACGAGTCTGTCTTGGAGGGGGTGAAACCAAGTTTCTCCTTGGAAGCTAGGGTTTTGAAGCTCTGTCTCACATACCTTGGGCACGTGGCCAGGAGGGACTGGTCCTTGGAGAAGGATATCATGCTTGGAAGTATGAAAGGATAGTGCAGGAGACAAAGACCCTGGATGGGATGAATTGACAGTAACTGGGGCAATGGGGGTAGGTGTGTCAGGGTCAGAATGTCTCAGGACAGGGCAGGGTTGAGAGCTGTTGTACATAGGCTCACTATTGAGTCAAAGGTGACTGGATGGCACATAATAACAAAGTTGTAAAATGTAATGTCTGAACCACCTGGATCAAATTCATCTGGGTGTCTCTCAAAGGCCAGGAACAATCCCATTAACAAACCACTTCTCTTAGTCTTAAGAACACTGAAGCTTGATCATCTGGACAGGACTAGTTAGTTTCTGGAAATTTTAGTGACTCTAGCAGTGAAGATAGTCTTTCAAAATGAAAATAGAAGCTAGCCCTTCATCGTTGGGCTGAAGAAGAGACAGAGGGAGTGGCTATTGTGGTTTGTGGGTTTTTTTGAGAAAAAAAAAAAAGACCTCTGTCAATTACGGAAAAAAAGATGTTTATCTGTGTACTAGGAAAAACTGCACACAATCTGTGTGTGTCAGTCAGCAAGCATGTTGCCTAATGGCTGAGGTCTCCAGAGCTGTCTTGTTCCACTGCACTGACCTTTGGGAGATATTCACAATACCCGGCCCGGTCCTGAGTATGGCCAACGGGTAATGTCTGAATGACTAATATTTTTCCAACCAGGAGCGACATTAACTGATTGATAACTATTTTCCCCGTAAACCTGGCAACATCAACATTCCTCCCTTCACCGTGTGCCAAAATGAGAAGATTAACTAACACAACAGTCTTTTGAAGAAGTCCAAGTCTGGGAACTGAGCGTAGCCCAGGGTTTCCAAACTGAAGCAGGTTGTGAAGAATCCGGCGAGTTTTCAGAAACATACAAAGGGACAACAGGACCCCCTGAGGAGTGGACAGAGGACTGGGACTTTGAACTTGCAAGATAGCTGGGCTTAGAGATTGAATTGGAAGAGTCATTATTTTAAACAGCAGCTAGACACAAAACCTGATCGTATGATTTTACAAAATGGTAAAGTTCAAAGCTCCAAAACCTGGCCTTTTTAAAAATCAAAATAAAACCAAACCAAAAACAAAAACAACCCACCTTTTTTGCGAGCGCTGGCCCTGATCCTAACAAACATTAATCACCACGGATAAGGCCCAGCATAAAAACAGTCACGTAGATCTTACAAACTCTTGGCCTGGTGGTCAGAGAATTTAAAAGAGCAAGCAAACAACTAAAAAACTGGAGATATTTTCCTTCCACAGCAATAATGGAATATTCTGCAGATCAGGTCGTTTTGGAGATTTATCTGCGATTAAAGGGTGTTCAAAGTCAGCAGAGGGGATGCAGAGAGATTGTCAGCCCGAGAGCTGGGACGCCGGCCTCCGGACAGGGAAAGCTTTCCCTTGCTTTAATAGGCAAGCCACGGAGCCACCGAATTCACACGGTCCCAGCGGGGCCCCAGGAGCGCAGACAGACATCCGGCAGACGAGGGCGCGCAACGGCCGCCACAGACGCGCCCGGGCGCCCGGGGCCTGCGCTCAGGTGGAGAGCGGTGCGGCCTCTAAGCTTGCGGCTCCGCAGCTGCTCCCGGCTCGGCAGCCGCCCCAGGCTTCCCGCCCCCACTCCGTCGACCAGCCCGGGCGGGGGCGCCGCGATGGAGGCGCTGGAGCAGCGCCAGGCGCAGAGGGCTGCAGCGCGCTGAGGCTTTCCCGCCCGCTAGTCAGGGGCGGGGCAGCCAGGCCACGGCCCCCTCCTCCTACCCCCAGCCCTGCACGCCCCTCTCCCAGACCCTTTCCGCGCCCTTCTTTCCTTCCCGCTTTCCCGGGAGAAACATGGCCGGGAGCAGCGAGGAGGCACCAGACTACAGGCTAGGGGTCGTGGTAAATGCAAACTCAATTTCGGGGGTGGGGAGGGGTGAGTCCTGCGTTTCCTGCTTTTCCCCCTCCCACCCTGGATTTAGATTAAATGCCTGGAATGCGAATGAGTGAGAATGGCCCACTGCTTTGTTCTAACCTCCCGCGGTGATCTCACATCCTCAACCCAGCACCCTCCTTTCCAAGCGGCCAATGCAAACACCTGTGTTCTCTGGCCCGCCCCCCCCCCCTTTCCAAATTCATCTTTCCCGCCCCAGGAATCTGCCATTCCAGTTTTAAGCCTGGGGGCTCTGTGTCCCTACTCCTCAAAACCACCAGGATTCTCTGGGAACCGGGTGGCTCCCTTCAGACCCCTATTACTACTCTTGTGGGTCTCCTTTCTTCTCTTTGTGCCTCCTCTCCATTCTTCTAGCGCGGGGCTTCTAGTTTTCTTTCAAAAAGCATACTGAGGATTCTCAAGAGCAGCTCGGAAATAAAGTCTGTCAAGTGGATGGAGTTTGAGCTTTAAAACTTTTGAAACGTGGGTTCAGTCTCGTCTGTGGGACCTCTAGACAAGCTAGAGGCTCCTAAGTGTCAGTCCTTGTCTGTAAAAGGGAGAAATATTATGCCGGTTCTGTTGAAAGATTGGGAAACAGCACGTTAACATAGTACCCTGCAGGCTGAGAGGATGCTTCTTAGAACTGAACCTCCTTACCCCTGAAAATCCTTGGAGAAGTCAACCAGGGAAAGGGTGCTCATCTTAGTGTTCCCTGTGGCCACCAAGCTACTCTGTCAAGAATAGTTTCCAGGAGCCAGTTATCTTAGAGTGGGCACCCCATAAGTGTCAGGATAGAACTATCTCCAAAGCACTTTCACTAGAGATTTACTGGAAGCAGATCACCAGCTCTTTCGTCCAGAATGTTTCACCTTCCATGAACAGCTGAGTGTTAACCTTTATATCAAAGAGTGGTGGTTATTATGGTGTTAGATTTAATGCAAAACGTTGCTGAGAGTCTTGGGTGGGACTAACTTGTGACCCACTAAGGTGCTATTTTTCAGAGATCAGGCTCTGCTAGTATTTGGTTGGAGAAGGAAACATCTCAGAGTATAGGGGTTGAAAATACATTGCTTGGTTCTTAGTTTAACAAACAAGATTGTTCCCTCTTCAAGAATTCTTGAAGGGTGAGGAGTTTATGTATTCATCCCACATACGTATTCACCACACATTCTCAACATGGGGTTCTAGGCTTTGGCAAAGAAGACAAAGGCTTTGGCATCATGGAACTTACATTTAAGAGGAGGAAATGGGCAAGTGGCATGAAAGCAGACAAGTGAAGCAGATCATTTGAGACGGGGATCACACACTCACTCATTGAGATTCAACTAGGAACCAACTCATAACTGACTCTCTGGTTTCCAGAGCTGTAAATCATATGGGAAGAGGGTCTCCATTTTTCCCCTGAGGAGCCACTAGTGGTCTTGAACTACCTTTGCAGAGCAAATCCCTGCAGACTACTCCTCCAGAGTGCCCCTCGCTCGGGGATTTTCTTCCTCATTGCATTTCACTTGGAAAGAACTCATAGCATGGGAGGAGATTACCCACATTTCTCCTTCAGAGCAGCTCATGAATTCCAGCTGGCTGCCTTTGTAATGGCATCAGCAGGCCAGCTTCTTACCACTAGGCCACGAGAGCTCCCTTCAGACACAGGCAGGTGCAATTAAAAGAGTAATGGAACGGAGAGTGATGGGATGGGGAGCATTGCTTTTGTTCAAGTGGTCAGGATGTTCATTTGTAGGGTGAGAAGGAGGTAGCCCTGTGAAGAAGACCTGAAGGAAAGTACTTCAAGTCATAGGCAGGTACAGAGTTCCTGAAGGAAAATAACTGCATCTGATTTAGACTTTAAAAAATTCACTCCAGTTGCCATAGGGAGAATGGACAGGATAAGGGCGGGTAGATAGATTGGAAAGTGACCAGGTATTTAAATATTAGAAACCAGTAAATTCCATTCTGGAAGACTTGAGTCTGCAGCTTACAGATGAGGGTCTGCAGGTGAGGTGACGCTCACTGTTAGGCAATTTGAAATTAATATTTGCCTTTCAGGAAAGTGATTAAAGGGCATTTAGAGATCAGAGGCAAATAGAAGATTTGATGTTTAGATGTGGATGTGGATGTCCAGTAAAAAATGTAAAAAAAAAACCCCAAAACCAAAACAACAACACCACTGTTAAAAGTAGAAGCCTGAAAACCAGGTATATGAGAAAGTAGCAAAACAATAGAGAGATGATGAGGTGGTAGGTACCTAGGGAGGGGAAGGATTCATCCAAAGGATCAGATGCTACAGAAAGAGCAAGTGAAGGAAAGAGAAAAACAATCCATCAAATTTAGTAATGGGGAGTTGTGTTGTCAACCCAAAGGTAGGCAGTTTGAATCCTCAGACTTCCTCAGAAGGAAGATGGACAGTCTCTTCCCATGTGATTGACAGTCTCTGAAAATGCACTGGAGAGTTGGTGATAAGTTTGTTCCCATTCAAGAGGAATGAGTTTGAGTCAGGTTTTTTTTTCCTTCTCAAACCAAGATCAGATTCCACTGCCATAGAACTGATGCTGATACTCTCCACCAGATATTTGAGGGAGTGAGTCTTCACAGAAGGAGACTGAACTTAGAGCAGATGATAGATTAAAACAACTGGGTTTTGGTTAGCAGTGATCCTACCGACTGTGGAAATTATTAAACAATTTCACTAATATCACACACAAGCAAAATCCTGCTGAAGATTATCCAAAAAGAACTGGAATAGTGCATCAACAGAGAACTACTATAAATACTGGGATTCTAAAAAGCTGGGTTTAGAAGAGGCTGTGGCACTAGGGACATCATAGCCAATGTCAAATGGATCTTGCCTGAAAGCAGAAAGTACCAAAGGAATGTCTGTGTTTCATTGACTATGCAAAGGCATTTCACTGTGTGGTTCACAGCAAGTTGTGTCTAACCTTGAGAAGAATGGGAATCCCAGAACACCTGATTGTGCTCATGTGAGACCTTTACTTGGACTAGGAAGCAGTCTTTAGACTAGAGCAAGGGAACACTGCATGGTTCAAAATCACAAAAAGAGTACGTTAGGGATGAGTCCTGTCTCTATACCATTTCAATCTATTTGCAGAACAGATCCTTGAGGAGGCTGGACTTTATAAGGAGGAATGTGGCATCAGGACTGGACAAAGACTCATAAAAAAACTTGCTCTGTGCAGATGACACAACATTGCTTGCTGAAATTGAGTAGGACCTGAAGCATTTGCTGCAGAAGGTCAAGGACCGTAACCTTTAATATGGCATGAAGGTCAATATCAAGAAGACAGATTCTCACCACTGGGCCAATTGCCAGCACCATGATAGATGGAGAGGAGATTGAGATTGTTAATTACTGCATTGGAAAATCTGCTGTCAGGGACCTCTCCAGAGTGCTAAAGAGTAGTGCTATCAGTCTAGAGACTCCATGGTATTCACAATTACTTGCTGCCCATCAGAGAGCTGATCAATGACTCATGACCAAAGGAAAGACCATGCCTTTGAGTTGAGGTGCTGGAAAAGAGTTCTGAACATTGCATTGACTGCCACAAGAACAAACAGATTTTTCCTAGAGAGGGTGAACTCAAGTTGCTCCTTGGAGGCAAGGATTTTGAAACCCATTTGACATACTTGGGCATGTTGCCAGGAAGGGCTAGTCCTTGGAGATGGACATCATACTTGGAAGGATAGAGGGACAGCAAATGAGGAAGACTCAGCAAATGAGGAGATGGTTTGACATAGTAATTGGGCCAATGGAATTAAATGTGTCAAAGATAGTGAATTTGTCTCAGGATAGGACAGGTTTCAGAGCTACTGTGCATATGGTCACTGTGAGTCACAGATGACACAATGGCACATAACAACAACATACCACTAGAGCTCCCTCCCTACATGGCTGTTAATTGTGAGAAACTTAACCAACCCTACCACTGGAAGGGTTATAATACTACCTTAGAGTCTGTTCTAATTAAGCAAAACCCCATGTGAGGCAAGTGAAAGTTGGACAACAGATAAGGAAACCTAAAGAAGAACTGATGCCTTTGAACTGTGCTATTGACAACTAGTATTGAATATCCTATGTTTAGCCAAAAGAACAAATACATCTGCTTTGAAGGAAGTGAAACCTGGGTGCTCCTTAAAGGCAAGCAAGGTACACAGTCTTATTACATACACAGTCATGTTGTCAGGAGGGGCCAATCCTCAGAAAAAGACATTGTGCTTGGAAAAATAGACATGAAAGACAGTCAGAGAGACGGATTGGCACAGTGGCTGCTTACGATAGACTTGAGCATGGCTGTGAGGATGGCACAGAATAGAGCAAGTTTTCAATCTGTTCAGAGGGTCACTATGAGTCTATGACTATGACAGCACTTAACAAGCTGTGTGTCAGAGTAGCAATGCACTGTATGGAGTTTTCTTAATTGGGATCTCAATCGAGTCAGAATCACCTTTACAGTAGCAGATTGTTACCAATTCTACCATGGCATAGCTGATTGAGCTTAATAAAACTACAAATCTTTGATTACTGGTGGAAAGCAGACCTTTTGTGTCACCCAGGGGCTTATAATGCAGTGCTAGATATTCTTATCGGGAGCCCTGGTAGTTTTAGTTTAGTGCTGAGGAGTTGCACTGCCAACCCAAGGCACCTGGTTCGAATTTACCAGCAACTCCTTGGGAGAAAAATGAGCAGTCTCATCCCATGTGATTTATAGCCTGTGAAAACTCATTGGAAAGTCAGCTGTGAGTCAGTTCCAACTCAATGGCACATAACAACAGGCAATCTTATAAGGAATGAGATAAATTGATATGCATTAATAAGTGTTAAGGGCTTAGTGGTAACGACTGGGCTGCAAGCCCAAAAGTTCATGGTTTGAATCATCAGCGGCTCCACTAGAGAAAGGTGAGGAGGAGTCTTCTTCCATGTGCTTTACTACCTCTGAAAACCTGCTGGAGTGTCACC